TGCACAGCCATTTACTGAAGTGGTGAACCAGAAGTGATTTAAGTGAGCCTGCAGTGCACCACAGAGGTTTCCTAAGCAGAGGGAGATAAGACCGAGAGCTCTGGTTCTTCCCAGGCACAGATTTTGATCAGATCACAAAAGCAAGCACTGAAAAAGATTGCAGTCACGGAGCACTGTGCTTTGAGAACGGGTTAGACTGCCTGCTCTTTTGTGCAAAAGTGACTCCCGGGTGGGATCTGGGATGCAAACAAGTTCTTAAACAGGTTAGACCCACTGCTGTGGCTCACAGCCATCATCAGGTGCTGGGTTTTATCCATAGGTTCTTGTCCTTCCCTGTTTCAGGTATCATCTCAGGTGAACATTACCCTGAAAACTCTGAACGCAAAAAATCACTCCCACTAGAGTGGCGCGATGCTGAGTGGCAGAGGTAGTATTTTATTTTTTGAGCATCCCTCCTCAGGAACACTAACAAGTTTGTAAAACATCACTAAATGAAAATAAAACATTGCCAACAACAAAAATGCAAAACTGCCGAAAAGTAAAACACAGCAGCATTCAAATGCTGGAAAACATGAGAGCTAAAGTGCTTGAGATAATTTCTTAACTATGCACAGTCTGAAGTCAATCTTTCCCGTAAAAATGCTATTTTTCCATAGCACCTGCCTGGCTGCGTAGGTTTCTTCACCAGTCTATGGCATGATAACACTACAAAGCCACAGTCATCACCCAAAGGGCTAGGAGCAACAGATTTCTTTCTATCCCTCATACTAAAAGTAAGTTAATAAATAATATTCAAAGAAACACATTTTAAAGTTCAGGCAGCTGAAGTCGAACTTCAAGGAAAGTGACTGTAGGATTTCCCATGCAGTGAAGTCGCTAGCATAGCCTGAAGCTGAACAAAGCTTTGGTGGGATTTATAAAGTGCTGTCTTTTAGTATTTTATGCCCGTCTTTAGTAGTGTTTTTTTCAAACCAGCACCGGGGTTGTCAGTTAAAAAAATTGTGAAACAACAGACCAATTTTCAGTGGATGCTGGAGTCGGACAGACATTGCACAGTGCACACAAATATATTAAAAAAACCCAAAGAAAAAAAGACCCCAAACTTAACCCAATTATGGTAAAACTTTTCATCCTTAAATGCAAACGCCCACCAAGCACCAAGAGCAAATCTGAAAGCAACATTTGCCTCCCGGTTCCAGCAGGGATGGTTACTACGTGGCACAAGCTCAGCAGCAATGGTTGTGAGCCTGAGCCTGCAGGCACTCAGTGCAGAGCTCTCCCAGGAGAGCCATCCGCTTTTCAGCAAAGCTGAAGGGAGCTCCCTCCAGACTCCAGCAGACTTTGGATTGGCCCCAGAGATCGACAGCGGGAGCAGGACCTTGATTTACAGTCACTGCTTTTCTATCCAGCCACAAAAGCCACCCCCTGAAATTCCTGAAGGGGTTTTCAACCTTCCCCTCCATGCATGCATTTAACATCCAGTACAGTTATAGCAGTTACACATGCATATCGATGGGAGAAAAGTCCCAGTCGAGAGGAATTACTGGTAGTAAGAAAAGAAACCCAGTAGAAACGCTGGGAATTGCTAAAGACCCAACTCCCTTGAATAAATCCGTTTCCCTGTGTAACCAGCCGGCATTGCCGCCGGGTCGCAGTGCAGGAAGCTCTATAGTGTGTGGTTGTGTGTGCACGGGTGTGTGACGCGCGGGGAGCAAACGGGCGTTGTGTGGCACGCGAGCCCGTGGCCAAGCCGCCTCCTGTCTCAGTGTCCCAGCAGGCGTCTCCAGCGCTGGCCCTCGCCGCTCTCACTTGTGAGCCATGCCGCTGTAATCGTCCTGAGCCGCGGCCGGCAGGGAATGGTCTATCCTGAACTCTTCCTCCCGATCGCCGGCCGCCTTCGCCAAATCCCCTCGGGCTGTGGGCTGGCGACTGTCTGCGCCGCCCCGCTCCAGCCCCAGGATCTGTCTCTGCACCAGCTTGGAATAAAGGCCTCCTTCTTCCATCAGCTCCTTGTGCGAGCCCTGCTGCACCACGCGGCCCTTGTCCAGCACAATGATGTTGTGTGCCTTCTCGACAGTGCTCAGCCTGTGAGCTATAACAAGCACCGTGTGGTTCTGCAAGTCACCGTAAATCGCCTGCTGAATCTGTGCGGGAAGAAAAGACATTAGTGCCTGAGCATCGCTGGCTCCTCTTTGCCAGGGAGAACAGCAGCTTTGTGGCTCCGTGTTAGAAACCTCCAGATGGGAGGCTTGCTCTCCTCTGGCTGCACGAAGGAGATGACTCCCTGCAGCACCACCAGCTCCAGCAAGGCCATCCCAGCTCTCAGCGTGCACCCGAAAGGATCATCTCAGTCCAGCTAGCCCCCAGGTGCAGTACGCACAAAGGTCTGATTCTGCAACCTGGGGTCTTGTTAGAGCTGGACCACAAATGTGGAGGCCACGTGGTGTTGGCAGGGACTGCAGGAAGTCAGTACCTGGTAAATGCAGCTGCTCAGAAGAGCGGGGCTACTTCCTGGGCATATCAAGGCGAAGCAAGAGAGCATTGCTTTCCAGCCAAGAGACAGACAACAGCACCGAGGTCTGAAGGCCAGCAGACGGCCACCAGGACACATTGATGCCCCTTGCTAGCCAAAACCAGCCCTGCCACACATGACTGAGAACCTGTGAGCCCATGAGCTGCTCTGACATGTCAGACACTTGCACTGCCCCACACCGTGGTCAGCAGTGCTCATCCTCTGGGGCCAGGAGACACGTCTTCACGCCTCACCATTCAAGTAGCTTTCCCTCACATCAGTAAACCAGCAAGGCCAAACTGCTACTGGTAGAGCTGTTTGGTCATCACATCCCAGCCAGACAAACCCTGATAAATTAACAGAAAGCTCAGGACCTCACATTTCAAAAAATCAGCAGAGATCCCTGTCTGTCTCCTCAGGTTTGTCAGGCGTTGGCAGCTGGGAGCACAGATTATTCCCTTCTTGGTAGCTACAGCAGTGTTGGAAGCAAATTCCTGCTCAGGAATTAGTGTCTTACCCAAACCTCTGGTTGCACCAAGTCAAGACTAAGCTTGTCCACAGGCTAAAAATTGGAGATACAGCCTTTCCTCCAAACCCAGATGGCCTCTTTGGCCCAAACACCCGAGTCACCTACTCACCGCGTGTTCACTCTCCGCGTCCAGCGCACTCGTGGCTTCATCCAGAATTAGGATGGGGGGGGTTCGGATCAAAGCCCTGGCAATTGCCACTCTCTGCTTCTGGCCACCTGACAGCTGGGCTCCTTTCTCACCTGCCTCTGGTGGGCCGAGAGAGAGAGGAAAGGGTCAAAATAGAAAACAAGAGCTGCCACCGAGTTCAGCTCCTGGCTAGCAGCATCAGGACAGTGCCATGGTTTGAAGCAAAGGGGTTCTGCCTTCCCCAGGCACAAAATGCTTTCAAGCACAAAGGGAGGGAGGGGTTTTGGTACCTGTGTGGTAGCCGTCTTGTAGCTCGGTGATGAAGGCGTGCGCGTTGGCCTTCTGGGCAGCCTGAACGACCGACTCGAAGGAGGCTGACGTTAAGCCATAAGAAATGTTATCTGCAATAGAGCGGGCAAACAGCACCGGCTCTTGGCTCACCAGGGAGATCTGCACAAAGGAAGGGAAGAGCAGGGGTCAGAAGCAGAAGACGTGCCGGATGGTGCCTCGGATCACTGGCATTTGTTTCTGCTAGGAAAGAGCCCACCCATTGAACCAAGATACAGCACTGCCTCAACGTGAGCTTGCAGTGAGGATGCTAATGACGGGCTGCCCAGGGGCAGCCACAGCCCAGTTTGCATTGTCTACTGGGAAGCTGTTTTGCAGGAAAGAAAACTGTTGCAGTGCTGGTACATTGGCATCTGAGACAAGCTTCGCCCTCCAAAACTGTGCTGTGATTTTGCTCCAGACCTGTAATTCCCATCACTGTTTGCTGTTCCCAGTATGGGAAACCAGTTGCTGGGACAAGGCAGGCTGGGGAGATCCTCTCCAGGGCTTTGCCCCTTTTCTATTCA